CTTTTTCATCCACTCAATCCAATAATGGAATATAATGAGAGGCAGTCTGGTGTAGTGGTTAAGATGCTGGCCTAGAAACCATGAGTTTTATTCCTGCCTTCCAGTTGCTCACTCTCAACCCAATCCTCTTTACAGTGTCATTGTTGTGAGGATAATAGGGGAAGGAAGGATATTGTGTATGTTTGCCACCTTGACTTACTTATAAAAGTAATAAAGGAGGGATAAAAAATAAAAATCAATAAAGTTTATATTATAATCTCTTAATTAACATATTTTCCCCAGCTCTTATGCCATAATGTCTCTGTCGTTCTTACAACTTTCAATGGACACTCTTGTGCTTTCTGCCTAGGCTGAAAATAGCCTCACATGTAGGTTGGACAGGAGATCTTGGATGATATATGAGAGTGGTTTCAGCAAGAACCAAGCAATAGTTCTGCTCTTTTGCTTTCTGAATGGGTCCTGTAACAAATATGTCTTGGGTACAAATATAACTGTATTGATCTGTTTTTCACACTTCATTGAGTTGCCATTTTGCTTGGAGTTGTAAGGCTTGATTTAAATTCCTTGGCTGAGAGCATCTGACAAACGTGAGCAAATGCAGCAGTGTTGTAAGAGTAGACCATAGATAATCCATTTTGTGGCACATTCTTGAGAGGAATCTGGAGGTATGAGTGTGTGTAAGTACTTATAGTAAAAAACAGGCTTCAGTATAAAGTTCACAAAGTGTTATATGCTGCTCTTTCTACTTTCTTTAATTTTATTAAAGAAATTACAATTCTACTCTTGTTTTTATAAATAACCAAAGCAGTGAATATACCTATTACACCTTCCTCTTCCTATTTTCCCCAAAAGAACAACCCTGTGAGGTGGTTGGGCTGAACAAAAGTAAATCCTTGCTATTCTCTGAGCTTGGTTGTTTTCTTGCAGATGCTTCATTACCCCAACATCGGTGCTAGTCACAACAAAGCTCAAAAAGAGCACTCATTTCAACCCCTGAACTACAAATATTCTCACCAGTCTTGTGATTCAACCAGTCGCAAGACCAACCAACCACCTAATACCTATATAAATGAACAAGACACCTCACCCAAAACCCTGCTGAAGATATTACCTAGTTTGGTAATGAAACATCTGGGAGCCAAGTAGCAAACTCGGAGGACAAACCTCTGCCTACAAATAATCTCCTATATTAGAGTCCATCTGCTCCATGCATTCATGTTCTTGGAAAATAACTTAGCCTTAGTGCTATACTTGAAGATACAGTTATGTGGGATGTTGTATCTATTACATACTCATTTAAAGGCACTAAAACCCAGTCATCATTTTAACAGAGAATCAGTAGGAATTACTGGAGAGGGGTCAGTATTGCTACGAAAACCACAATAGTTTTCAATCTTACAAAGACACTTTCCTAAGTAAAGTCCCACAATGCAATTTCCTCCAAGTAAACATATGGACCAGCCTTCCCCAAACTGACTGGAAATAATGAAGTAATAATTTACCACATCTGGAAGCCGTGTGTTGCTGAAGAATAATGCAGAGGAGATTCCAATAGGTTATAACAGAGGTCTCCAAATTTGGCTGGAGAATTCTGAGAGTTGAAGTCCACGAATCTTAAAGTTGCCAAGTTTGGGGATCCCTGGATTATAAGAAGGTGTTATAAGAAAACCAAGGAAAGGGAAAATATTGATGACTATAAGAGAACAGAATATTTAAAGAAGCTTTCCTCAGTATGTCCATAAACAACATATTCCCAGAATATGTGAAGAAGAATAACTTGCTAATAGATGGATAAAATGTGAAAAACCTTTAGATAATGTTTTACCTAAATTATGCAGTTCTCATTCTGTCTTTGTGGCTTATCTTGTATTCACTTGTTAGACACAGTTATACCACAATACATTGGTTGAAGTACTATAAGCTCAGACATAAGTTGTCCTCCCTGCATATTTTGCCCATATTCCTCTGCCTTATTTGTAAGAACAAATAATTCCTTTTCCAAGTTTTCCATGGGAGATGCCACTACTAGAACATAGAACACCTTATACAAGTTTTCCTTGTATGATGTGGCTAATGTTATTTTTTATTTTGCTCCCATATTGATTGCCATTGGTCCAAGTTTATGCTGTGCCCAAAGTCCTCAGCCCAAGTTTACTTAATTTGGATTTTGGGATAGTGCACAATATTTTCAATATAGCAATCTTTAAAAGGTAAAATAATTCGGCACCAAACATTTTTTATAAATTGCTGCTTCATGACAAATTTTCCAACCAAATTAATTTTCATCTATACTTTAAAAAATGAAGCTAAGCCATTAGTACATCTATAAAAGCTATAAAATTCAATAGTGGAACAAAATGGTTCCATTTAACAATTTTTAAATAATTCATTGATTTTTTCTTCTTCTATGCTTTCTCTGGTATATTCCTTACCAAATTGCATTCTTTTGAATGAAGAGGAGAAACAGCTGTGTGATATGCAAATTGAAAGTACACTGTAGCTTTGCCAAATTTTAAACATTAGAATATGGTCAGATCTAAAGGGAGTGTTTCTTTAGTAATTAAGAAAAAGGGCACTGCAGGCGGTGTAATTTCATGATAAGCTACACTTGATGAGTATCATATTCTGCCTCTCTCTTTCTCTCTCAAAACTGTAAAAGGCTTAGGAATCCTACTCTTTTTTTAAAAAAAAACTTGGCCGCACTGATAAAAAAAGAAAAATCTTGGTTTGGCAAAACAATGAAGACATTCTAAAACTGGATGGGATGTTGATAATATTAGAAATGAATTTTAGAAGAAGCTGTTTGAATGAGGGAAAAATCTGCTAGATAGCCAAAATGTTGGCTTCGCTCCCATCCGATTTTCATGGATCTATTCATCATAAGATGTCTGAGATACGGATGGTCCAGAAATGCACATCAAATGCTTCCTTAATGTAGTAGTTTTCACACAACAGGAAAGCAGCCTCTTCCAAGTTTGTGCATCCACATGACTAAGCATGGTATTGAAAGGAGTTGTAGCCCAAGACATGTGAAAAACATGAACTTTGGAAAGATTAAAAGAATATAGATGCAATATATATAAATATAAACGTTAATATGAGCAGGGTTGGATCAAGCAAGAATACAAAAAACATTCTAATCTAGAATGTCCCAGTCTAAAATATTTTGGGACACTTTTTCTTTCTCTCTTAGAATCCAATATAATTTAAAGAAATCCAATTACAATTAGAGAAACAGAAGCCATTCCTTGAAAGATGTACTAATTAGTATAAAAAAACAGCATATACAGACCTTAGGTTATTGCAGTGAGTTTCACTTATAAAAATATAGTTCTTATAGTTGCCCAAGCTATCCTATCTTAGTAAAAGTTTGGACCTGCATTCTAGGTAGCAGTCTCTTGCATAGACCACTAGCATCTATTGCAGGGGTCTTCAAACTTGACAACTTTAAGACTTGTGGACTTCAACTCCCAGAATTCCTCCTCCAGTAATGTTAGCTCGGGAATTCTGGGAGTAGAAGTCCACGAGTCTTAAACTTGCCAAGTTTGAAGACCCTTGATCTGTTGTGTGGATGAAAATGCTGTAATATTTTGAATATTGGTATAACTAGTGAAGGTGACTTGTAAAGAAGGCTTCATTAGATACTTTATTGCATATATTCACTGTATTTTCTATGTTTCTGGCTCTGATGATAGTGATAAGGAAAGACTAGCATCTACATGATGGAGAGTTGGCCAATTCCCTACTTTTTGTAGGATATAAGGATAGGGGAAGCCTGGGCTACAAGGAAGGAACAGGGCACCAGGTGAGGTTTTGAGAATTGATTATGTTCTATCAAATTAGTGTGGATTCTCAGGGATCACATAGATTTTCTCCAGGTGGATCTGTCTCCAACTTGGTCCATAGGACTTCCAGTAATGCACTCATTGCTGCTGTAATTGAGTCCATCCAGTTTGTTACTGCTCATCTTCCATTTCTCTGGTGGAATTATTATAGATTTAATTAGAGAGCTTGTCCACTGAATAATTTGTCCAAAGTATAATGATTTGAGCCTGGTTGTGTGTACTTCAAGTGATTTGTTCAATAATTCTTTTGTTTGGTTTTGATTATCAGTTGTATTTTCAAGCTTCTTTATTTATTTAATTTTGATTTGTCAATCGCTTACAAGATAATAGGTATAAGTATATACATAGTTATGAATACATGAAATGGGTACATATAAGAAAAATAAAAGAAACAATAGGACAGGGATGGTAGGCACGTTGGTACGCTTATGCACGCCCCTTCTTCAACATCAAATTTCTTCTTCTTCAACATCAAATTTCAAAAGTGTAAGCAACTCTTTCTACCCCGCTTCTTCAATGTCCAATTAATGCTTCCTTAGAGTGTCACAGGGAAAAGAAACTCCATTGCCTGCTTGATTCCGATCTTGGATGTTTGAGTGGGATAGATTCTATCCGCTTCCTGACTGTGCCTGCTGCCTTTCTTTAACCTTGGAATGTTGAATGCCTTGAATCGGGATGGAGATGATCTGCAGCCCTCCTTCCCCGCCCCCCCTCCCCTGCTTTGCATGCTGCTTGATCTTGCTCCTTTCTAGGTCTCTAGAAGCAGCGGGATGGTGGGGAAGCCAAGCGGTAGAGAAACGCGCGCAGGCACGCTTGGAGGCCCTTCTTACATTGCTTCCGGGCATCGCTTCCTGAAAGCAGTAGGCATTAGAGACTAAAAGGGTCGGGCTTAGTGTCTGTAGCAGCAGGCAAGGTGTGCCTCACAAGGCTGCTCCAATAGCTGCCAGGCAGAGGCGGGGACGGGAGACAAGAGGCGGGGAGGTCGCTTGCCTCCACCGCCTGCGCTCACACCCAGTCAGCCCGCAAGTAAGGCCCTGCTGGGGCTGGAGCCCCGCTCTGGGTGTGTGGCTGCTTCCGCCTCTAGGGGAAGGTGAGCTGTTTGCGATTCTCCCGCCTTTTATGTCCGCGGTGCCACTCTCTCTGCCTGACTCGCCCATGAGTCTCCTCGGGAGCTACCGAAAAAAGACCAACAATGATGGCTATGAATCTTTGCAGCTGGTGGACAGCAACGGTGACTTCTGCAGCAGCCGGGAGCGAACCGGCGGCGTCGGCGGCAACCTCGGCAAACAAGGGGTGATCCCCGCGGTGGTAGCAGCAGCCAGGAGCCCAGCGCGACAGCATCAGCATCAGCCGCTCGACTGCAGCACCATGGACAGCTCAGGTAGCAGGTTGACTGCCTCTCCGCGGGGAAGTGTGTGTGTGTGTGTGTGTGTGTGTGTTTGGGGGGGGGGGGGATTCGGGGCCCATCTTTCCGGGGGGGGCCGGGGGGTGGGGGGGGGGTTGGGGGGGGGGGGGCGCAAAGGAACCGCGCCGATCAGTGTATTGTTCTCGGACTGCGTGTGTGCTTGTGAATAAGTGGGTGAGTGGGAGGGAATGGAAATGCAGAGAAGACTGCTTCGGGCTATTTTGCTAGTATGCCTTGGTGTGAAACCAAAACTGTTAGCAAATGACCTCTTCAGGGAACCCTGGAAAGAAGCAAATGTATATTTTCAAAAGTACTTGGTCTTTGGCAGGAAATCTTCTGCTTAAAGTGGTTTTTGTTTGATTTTTGTTGAAAGAAAGAAAGTGAATGTCTGCACTGGGAAACTATCAGTATATAAAGCTGATGCTGCTTATACTACCTTGAAAATAAGGGTCATTTATTTGACTGTTAGGCTCAGCCCTAATAAGCAAGTTTTATTATTATTTTTTGTTATATTTAAAAGCTAACTGGCAGCCCCAGTTTCTACTTTGAATATAGATTGGGGGAAGCTTAAAACCCAAGCAGCATGCTACTTTAAAAAAAATCCATCAAGTGACACACCTTTTTTTCCCTCACTGCAAAAACGGAACTGTCTTTATGGGAAATGGTGATAGTTAGACCTATAAAAAGGTGCTATACATCCACAATCTTTTATCTCTTTTAAAATCTCCTATGTAGACAGTTGGACGGTTTATAGAACTAGTAATAAGCTAGTCATTGCAATGTCCAACCTGGATTGCTGATCAATTGCATCAATAACCTGGTACTTATTAATGGATTATCTGCTGTGTTCTCAAATTGGTTGAAGGGCACATTTCGTTGAATGACATGATTTCTTCAATGCCACAAAAGCTAGCGCTATAGGAATATATTCACAGTTTTGTTTCATTTCTGACGAAGTCTTCCTTTTTCCCGAGTAAAGAATATTTTTTGATGTATAAGCATTTTCCATCAAATGATGTGCTGCTGCTGCTACATTGAGGGGGAAAAAAGAGTTTTTTTTGGGAGGGGGGAGTTGAACCTCAAAGTTATCCTGGTTAGACTGAGAATTTTATAGTATTCAGTTATTTTGATATAGTGCCCAATTTTGTTAAGCGGTTAGAGGTGTGTGCATGAGAGAGAGGAAGACTCAGGCTTTTTCCAAATCCTCAAACAGTAGGATGTTGAATGAATTGCTTCATAAAACCATTCTTCCCCTAGATCAGTTTCAAACTGAGTGAGAAAGAAATAGTACTGCTTTTGAAAATTTTTGGCAACAAATATAAGGTTATTTCCCAATGAGCTGAGAAAATGCTAAAAAGTTATAAGGAAAGCCAAATCTCCTGTTCCATGTATAGCATTTTAAAGGATTTGATATTCACTTTTATTTCTATTGAAATAACTGTATGATCCACAATAGTTACATTTAGTTTACTATGTGTCTTCGCTTGCTAACAATTACGCATTACCTTCTCTTTGAGGTTTTATTTCCTTTCTCTTTGTTTGATTTGAAAAAAAAGTGACAAGCTAGGCTTTACAAATTCAGAAATTACGCAGACTCCACTCGTTACAGATCTTGGATTGATCATCTGCTTCAAGAAGGAAAAAGATTAAAATATTTTTTAATCAAAATTTTACTTTGAAATGTATAGATTTTTACTTAAGTTTGTAGATCAAATTAAAAATATTGGTTTAAATTTTGCAGTTAATAGACTAATAGGCTTGTGTGAACAACATGGATATATCAACATGTGATATATCTGTGCTTATTTTCATCTGTATGAGTCTGCTGTTATGATTCTTGATTTAACACTTTCCATGAAAAGGGTAAAATTACCTAATGGGTTTTAATATTCTTACTGGCTCTTGTGATCTTGTCATTTTTGGGGGGAAACCAGAGTTGCTGACTTCAACTCATATCAGAGTTAACAATATAGCCAGGAGAATTGTTTAGCAACATCTGGAAGGTGACAAGTTTCTAAGGACACAGAAGATGATTACTTAAGGATTGTGATAATTATTTTCTGCAAACAGTCCTTAAATATTCATCCACTGTTTTTTTTAATTGATAAAAGTTAAACAGCTTCATTTAAAACCATTTGCAAATATTTTATAAATTAAAAAACCTGCAACTGTGTAATTTTGAGTGCATTTCTTAAAACTACCAAAGGGAGGTATTCCCAGATGTTTACACTTAAAGGGTAGATTCTAGTTTTAGTCATTTTGGCAATATTGGAAAACATGGTTTGGTCTACTTTGGATCATTTCCTTCCTTGGAACTTCAGGAATAAGGACATCCATTGGATGTTAGACTTCACATCCTAATCATTACATAATTATATGTGTGTGTGTGTGTGTGTGTGTGTGTGTGTGTGTGTGTGTGTACATTTGAGTCAGTGTTGACTCCTATTAACTGCCTGAAAAAAGTCTTTGAAGTTTCCTTGACAGGTTTCTGGAAGTGGTTTACCATTGATTACTTCCTAGAGCTAAGAGGCAAGAGTAGAACTCATATTTCCCTGTTTCTAGCTCAGTGACTCAGCTCACCAACCAGGCTCTCTGGCCATCTGTATAATGATAAAGAAGAATCCCCCATAAAAGTGGGCAATCATTGGTGGCCAAAGATGACACTTTAGGAAGAGGCAGGGGTTGCAGATTGGGTGGAACAGCCTCACATGTGTTGGTGAGATGGGTTTGAGGGAGAATTGAGATTTTTAAATTTTTTAAATTAAGGTAGTTCTTGGCTTACAACCACAACTGAAACCAACATTTCTGTTACTAAGAAGTTGTTAAGGGAGGTGTACCCCATTTTATGACCTTTCTGGCCACAATTGTTAAGTATATCTCTGCAGTTGATAAGTGAATCATTGAATCATTAAGTAAATCTGGCTTCCCCCATTGGCTTTGCTTGTCCGAAGCCAGCTGGGAAGGTTACAAATGATGATCACATGACCCCAAGATAGTGCAACTGTCATAAATACATGCCAAATGCCCGGATTTTGGTCACATGACTATGGGGATGCTGCAACGGTTGTAAGTTTGAAAAATCATCATGTCACTTTTTTCAGTGCTCTTAACACTTCAGACTTTCACTAAACAAATGGTTGTAAGTTGAGGATTACCAAAGTATAACAAAGTACCAAACCGTTCATAATATGGGAATATCAAGAATGTGCTATTTTTGCAATCATGGGTAAGGGCACATTCAAGGGTTGCACTTAAGCCTCAAGGCATGAGTTGCCCAGCCTTGCTTACTCTTAGCTGTTCAATTTATAAGAATGCCAAGGGAATGAACATTTACTGTTGCATTTGCCTTCCTGAATGTTTTCTATGTGAATTCTATTGTTGGTAGAATTCAAAAATAGTCATAGTGAATATGCAGAATAATAAAAATATGTTAATGGTATGAAAGTTAGCAACTTTTATTTAAAAATAGAAGCCTGGTACTGCATGTAGTAAGCATTCTACAGCTCAAATTGCTGGAGTTTTTCAGAGGTAGCTGGTGTGTCACTTGGGTATTCCTGCATTCATTATGCATGAATTCAATCCCCATTGCTTCCAAAATTAATGTCTATGATAACAACAGCAACAAAACCCTTTTCCAATTCTCAAGACTTATGTAAAAGCTATTATAGATTTCAGTAACATTCACACTTAATAAATATGATGACTAAGAAGCACTTCTAAGACTGTAAATTGTTCCTCATTCAAGCATTTGTCATGGTAAGATTTATCACTTGAAAAGTCAGATGAGGATGCTTTCACTTTTTAAAATTATTTTCATTTGTTCATAAAATTATTTCCATTCTCCTTTTAGAGATGTCTGTTCTGAGCTATTCTGTAGAGTTTATAGGCACTGCAATTCCAGCACTAGTACCTAATATATACGCTATTAATCTTTCATTTTATGATGAAGGCACACATTTCCTATCACTCTTTTATTATATCTAATAACATGTTTTCTGCAAACTGAAAGCAACACAGGAGAAATAATTCAGTTGTATCAGCCAAGGTATCCTCTTATATACTGAAGTGCTTATTTCATTTTAGGCATGAAAACTGAATATTTCCACTGATCGCAGTGATGCAGTTCTAATGCACATTGATAAAACGCTTTATAGAATTGTTCCTCAGGAAAATCAATTTAGTATACTGATTAGATGAGATCCTGATACGTTGGATTAAATGAACCTATTCTGATCTCGCACTCTTCAAATATGTTGGATTTGTTGATTGTGTGCCATGAAACTGATGTCACCTCTTAGCATCACATAGCACACCGCCATGACAATCTTTACCCGACATTGTAGGATTTCGCCTGGTGCATCCATTGCGTCATTGTAACTGAGTCTGTCCATCTTATCTTCTTTTCTGTCCTTCCATCTTTCCCAGCAAATACAGAAAAGAGATTTGGGAATTAAAGGAATTACATTCCAATATGTATTGAGAAACTTGCTAGTATATAAGATCCACTGTATTTACTATCTTGGGATTGTCCTTTTTATAAGGAAGGAAGACATATGGTGTCTTCATAATAATAGCTTTATTTTCAGATATAGGTTTTGTGGTAGCAATTCTCAGCTAACAGCTTATCAATAGGTATGTGGCTTACAGTCCAACATAATTGAAGGACACCGGTTGGGATAAGCTGAGTTAGACCAGTATATCGCGATTTTTCAGAACAAGGAGTTCTGATACTAAACGTTCAGCTAAATCATAAACCCAAAACCCTGACTCTCCTAAAGTAAGCTGCTTCTAAACTCAGTTCTCAAGTCTTTCTCAGTCGCACCCAATTTTCCAAATTCTGCTGTGAATTACATTTTAAAATCCAGACAGAGGATTTTTGATGCGTTGCTGGTCCCACTGCAGGGATGAGGAGTCAGCTGGTAGTGTTTTTACATTTCTTTTTATTCTTGACATTCTGAAGACAAGCTATTCATTGTAAGGATTCAGTGAACTGAAATACTCTAGGTTTTTTTTTAAGCCATGGCCCTGGAAGAAGTATTAGTTTGAAGCATGTCATTGGAAAGAGTCAATATTGAGAAAACTGTGGTAGAATGCAGCATTGCAGGCTAATTCTGCCAATTGCCAGCAGTTCGATTCTCACCGGCTGAAGGTTGACTCAGCCTTCTACCCTTCTGAGGTCAGTAAAATGAGGACTCAGATTGTTGAGGGCAATATGCTGACTCTATAAACTGCTTAGAGAGGGCTGTAAAGCACTCTGAAGTGGTATATAAGTCTAAGTGCTATTGCTATTGTTATTGAAAAGCTTCTCAAACATTTTTATCTTTGAAAGTGAACATAGAAAGCATAGAAGTGGCTGCTTTTAATGTTCAAGCAAATTCTCATCAGAGCAAGCTCTGTTTAGCTTCTCTCATGAAACAAAGCCCCAGTCTATGAATTATGAACAACTCATCATATTAAACCAAACAGGTGGAATTTCAGCATTGCTTATATTTTAATTATTTCCCAGAAATATTACTCAAAATAGCTTCAGATCAGGAAAATTACTAGATGTTGGTATATTTAGAAAACATTAGACTGAAGAACTAATGTTGACTAACTGAATTAGCTTTCAGTACACTAAGGTACATTAACTTTTCTTAAAAGGCCATTACTAGAAGTTAAAATATCTTATGTCGTAGTAATTGTTTATGAAGAAACTGAGAGATATCTCCATATCTGTGAAAACAAAAGGCAGTCTCTTAGACACTATCTCGTCTGTCTGTTCTCTTGGACAATTTGAGATGAGAAAAGTCAATTTCTGAAGCCTCTTTGTTTCTGGAGCTGAATAACATTATCAGCTCATCCACATAGTTTTGGTTGTAGCAGCATTCTCATTTAGGTTCATATCACCCCTGAGTGTGTTTTATATTGTGGCAATTTACATACAATTTTTAAGCACAAAGCATGTCAGGTTTTTCCTCAAAGTTACTATTTTGAAAATGTGTTTGAGGAAAATGCAATTGTCCATTTTGAGAAAGCATAAAGGAAAGTTAAATGAGAGTAATGTTTGAGGAAACAGTTAGTGAAAGGTTAGTGAAATGCAGAATTAAAATAATCAGCATGATCGCTAATCTTTCTATTTTTTTCCTCTGAATAATCTTTCAGTAAGTTGAAACAATAAAATATTTCTGTTTCTAAACTTCTTAAATATTCATCACAAAGAATATAATTAACATTGTTTATTATAATTTTATAGTTTTTACTCCTATGCTTTTTTCTGCTTCACTTTTATCTTAGTGGGCCATGGACAGTTTTATAATAGGAACAGCATAGAAATTATATAAAATAAATAAATAAGTTAGATGGTAATTTGCCACTGCAGCTATTATAATTCTCCGGAAGAAAGTTGCCACACAATTCTTCATGAAAAAGCTATGAGAGTTCCAGCATTCGTTCTCTTTTGTAATAAATGCCCAAATTCAAAGAAGCATACTCACTTTGATATCAGGATATCTTTTTCTCCTTTAGATGGGATAAGGATAAAGCTTCAGCAACCAGAATGAATGGCAGACTCTTGTACAGACAAACAAAAATAAAATGAATATTAGGGATATGTTTTAAGGATTGAAGTTGAGAACTGCAATTCCATATTGTATAAATCCGTGAATGACTGATTATTGTGTCCCTTTAACTTGGTGTCAACTACATAGATTTTCTTAGAATGGCCTGCCACAACTTGGTCCTTTAGGTCTTCAGTTGGCATATTCTTCATTTGATGTAATCAAATCTATCCATCTCTTTGCTGATCATCCCACCCCCCCACACACTTTTCTTCCATCTTTCCTGCCATTATAAACCTCTCTAGAGACCTACTTTTTTCATAATGTGTTTAAAATATGATATACTGAGACATGCATCAAGCAATTTTTCCAAATGCAGTTAAATGAAGCCATATTTCTATTCATTTGTAGTACAGAGAGATGGGGGAGAAATGTGTCCTGCCAAGAAAATTATTATCATAAAGACTATTTCATTCTGAGGTTTTTGGAGGATTTTATCTCCTTTTGCTGCTTGTCTTTGACAAAAAACCAGTGACCTCCTTCACACAAATCATTTCAAAGCGATGTCCTGGAAAGAAATCTTCTAACAAAAATCCACTAAAAGAAATGAGATATTGTTATTCTCATCAATGAAGCTATTGCCTTAGAATGGTGATTCAGTTTCATATTCATCCAGCCAAATTTTGGCAATTAGTAAGCTATCCTTGATTTATAGAGGCAAAAAGGGGGTCTAAATATCCCAGAGCTGCATTTCTTAATTTAATTCAATTGGACAGTATTTTCTAATGCCCTGAATAAATAGTGATTTCATTTCCTGAAATGTGTGATGCCACAGATATGGTGTATGTCTATGGCCTGATAGACAGAGAGCTATTTTCAGCTGTTTAACTTTGCATAATTATAATTATTTGGTATTTATTTATTTCATCATATTTACATGGCTTCCATTTCACAGACAAGTGACTGAGTGGTGTACAACAAACTAAAAGCCATATACGCTGACAAATATTAACATTGTTATGTTTAAAAATGTTAAAATTACAAAAGGCAAAAAATGATATATATGTAAAAGCAGATGTTAATTGCTCCATCTCAATATTTTACCAGTCCCCTAAGGTCCCCAGGCCTGATGACATAACCAGATTTTGAGGGACTATTGAAAATTTTAAACAGATAAAGTCAGTCTGGCTCTCGGGGGAAGAATGTCCCATAAAGTCGGGATCCACCAAGCAAAGCTCCCTATTTGATGGGACCGGTGATATGCCTTCTTTGCTAGAGCTAGCGCAGGGGTCCCCAATGCCCGGTCCATGGACCGAAAATGGTCCGCGGCATGCCAGCAACCAGCCCACACAAACAGATGAAGCTCCCTCTGTGGGATGTGGGCAACACAGGCAGTGGCAGATTAAGGCTCACTGGTGCTCTAAGCACTGACAAATCTTGGTGCTTCCCTCCTTTGTATATACCGTACAAACGAAGCCATATTCTCAACCTTGTGGTGCCCACTTTGGGCCTGGTGCCCTAAGCATGTGCTTAGTCTGCTTAATGGTTAATACACCACCAAGCATAGGAAACTATGCCTGTTCCAGTCTGCGGAAAAATCTCTCTCTGCAGAACCGGTCCCTGGTGTCCAAAAGGTTGGAAGCTGCTGATTCTAGTGGGACAGGCAGATAGAATCAGGGAGGGACAGTCCCAGGATTCATATGGCCTCATGCCATGTAGGGCTTTAAAGAACAAAACCAGCACCCAAAATTGGACCCCAAAACAGACTAGTAACCAATGCAGCTTGCAGAGCAGCAGTGTGTTCTTCTAGAAATACACAGAACTGTCCATGTGACTGCAGTCTGTACAAGTGAAGTTTCGGATACTCTTCAAGGGCAGCCCCATATGTAGATTGCATTACAGTAGACCAACTAGATGGTGACCAGGGCATAAGTGAATAGAGTCCCTTGATCTAGGAATGGTTACAATGGTGGCACAATGCAAAATGGTACAAAGGCCCTTCTGGCCACTGCTGCCATCTGCTCCTTGTACAGGAACTGTGAGTCCAGGAGAACTGTCTGATTGCACACAGGGTCTATTTGGGGCAGTGCAACCCCACCCAGAGCAAAGATAGTATAGTCCCAGAACCAGTGGGTCCTAAGGCCAGTCAGTCTTGCTGAAGCCTGTTGCTTTCTATTCAGGCTCCTACAGGCACCAGGGTGGGACATCCGCACTATTATTTAGTTTGCCAGGGACAGAGAGCTATAATTGGGTATCATCAGTGTACTGATACCTCATTCCCATGGCAGCAAATGATTTCCCCCAGTGGCCTCATGTAATTGTTGAATAGATGCACAGAAAGCACCAAGCCCTGTGGCACTCTAACACAGTAGGGGACGAAGGTGGGATCTCCCCCCCCCCCAGTCACCACCAATTGGATCAATCTAAGGGATGTGGCCTCCCTTCAATGGATGGCAGAGTGGTATCCATGGTAATCAGGGCTTGATCTGATCTTGACAAAGGGGCATCCCCAAAGCTCCCTCCCCCCAATTCCAGATTACTCCATCAATTTTTTTTTAATCGTAGGAACATTTTGCAAAGTTACTTGCTTGTGATTCAAAGCCCCTGTAAAATATCACCGCCCCCCCCCCCCCCCCAAAAAGTAAGAAAGTTCAACTTTACTTTGAGATGTGAGGTTCTGTGGATAGAAATCTCTACATTGGGCTGTTATGATTCAAATGTATCCCTTTGTCTGGGAACTCTCTCAGGTCCTGCAAAACTAATGCAATCTGTTGACAGATGTTCTTATCTAATCCTACTCCTGCTATGCCTGTTTCCTGTTGTTGCTTATTCTCTCTCAGATCAGTTTCATCTTTTTCAGTTCTAACTGGAAAAGAAAAACAAGAAATAGTCAATGTCAATACATCTTGTTTTAACAGGACAATAATGTTGTTGTGTTCTTTGTCTTCATATTATGGGTTACTTTGGTTGCTCCTAATGCCTCTGTTTTCTCATCTTTTTCTAATAAGTACATTCGTGTAACTAATCTAAAATTTGCTGTGGTGGTTAAAGTTCTTGGGTTGTTTTTTTTTTGCAATGCCTTTGTTTTATTGAGTCTCCTTTTCCTTTTTTCAAGGTGCCTCTTCTCCTGACATGGAGTCTAGCTATGGGGGAGGATTATTGGACATGATGAAAGGTGGTGCAGGGAGACTCTTCAGCAACTTAAAGGATAACTTGAAAGATACTCTAAAAGATACTTCTACTAAAGTGATGCAATCTGTTGCAAGGTACTATGAAATACATCCATCTGAAGTGCTCAGCAAGCAACACAGTCACTATTAAAATGCCTTGTTGTTGAAAGTGATTGGATGTTAATAGGCTTGTGGAAAGGGAAATTTGATTATTGAGCAATATAGTGAAATGAAAAGCGTTTGAATCATTACAACCAATTCGCTAAAGTGAAACACAATCTGAAATTTAGGTAACAGACAGCTCTTACTTAACTGACTGCCTTGTTCGGTGACTGTTTAAACTTAGGAAAGAACTGAAAATGTAGATTTACTTTGAGTCTTCATACTTGAGGCTACTGCAGTGTTCTTCTATTTCTCAAGTTCCCTCCTTTCCCAGGACTGAATTGGCATTTATTTTCTCATCATGTCTCAGTAGCTCTTGCATACCTTTGTCAAGGCCATTCTCTGCACTCCGTCACAATTAAGTTGTCATATTCTAAATCCACTGAAATACATAGCACAATTAATTCAGGAATGTTAGACCCGTGCGATTAGGTTCTTGAACAAGAACTGACAGCTTTAAGTATGAGTTATTGTTGAGTGGTCCTCCCCCCACATAACCAAGGAGACACCCTGTTGAAATAAGACACTTTTCATAAGAATATATACTGAAATGAATGCTGGATCAGGACACAAAGACCCTCACAGTCAAGCACAAAAATATCACTGTTGCGGCATTATGAACCATGTTGCCATTCTCAACTGTCGCTGTTTCTAGTGTGGGATTGGAATCGTAGAAGCTCTTCCCTGATCACAACCACCTGCTCCCTTCTTTAATTGATTGATTATGTGCCATCAAGTCAGTAATGATTCTTAACAATTGCATGCATAGATTTTCTTCATTCCATATCCATCACACTCATAGTAACCCCAACATTTCTATTGATCACTAGATTGGAGAGTAACTTCTCCCTCTCTTTATTTATTCATTGATTTGATTTGATGTGTTAAGGCCACCCTATTCCAAAAAGAGTTTGGGTGGCTTACAACATATCTGATACATTAAGCTAAAGCACCCAACTGAAGTTACAGAGCTGCCCTGACTAAAAGAAGCATATCTCAACTTTTTTGTAAAAAAAAGATTCAACAGGGATTCCACCAACACTCTAATGGCATGCCTGGGAAGAGATCCAGGTCTTAAGGTACTTCTGAAAGTCATAGAGAACACCCTGCTACTCCATAACATAGAGGCAGCAACAGGGAAGGCATTTTTTCTTGGTCCACAAGATGACAGCTTTTAATTGAGGCAACTAAAATGTACCTGCTCTGCCTGAATGCCACAAACAACTGGAGACAAGTGATGTCTCAAATTACTGGGCCTTTTGGTATGAATTGGTAATGACCAATACCTCGAATTGTGTTGGAAGCCATGAAGCATAATGAGAAGTTCCCATTATTGCTTGGCTGCTGCATTTTGAACCAGCTGTAGTTTTTGGAGGGCATCTTCAAAGGGCAGCCTCATTAGAGGGCATTGCAATAATCCAACAGGGCATAGGTGACAGGTCTCCCAGGTGAGGAAAGGGCACAACTGGTGCTCAACTGTGCGAAGGCCCTCCTGGCCATAGCTGCCACTTGCTCTTTGAGCAATAGGGAGGACCTTCAAGTTACATACCAATCTCGAACGGGAAAGTGCAACCTCATCCAAGATCAAAAGTCTTCAACACAGTCTTGTCAGGATTGAGCCAAAGTCTGTTGCTCCCCTTTCCTATGCAAACAGCTTCTAGACAATGGGCTAGAACATTGACAGCATCACCTGCACAACTTGGAGTTGAGATGTACCTTTGGGATCATTCACAGACTGCTTATACTGAACTGCGAACTGATGAGTGACCTTACCTAGCAGTTTTAATCAGTCATAAATAGAAGCTTCGAACCCCCAAATGAAGGTGAAGCACCCCCAAATGAAGAAATATGGGCCCCCTCTCTCTCTTCTAATATTGACCTGAACAAACCACGAAGAAAGGACCATTGTAGCAAAGTGATCCCCCAATTCCCAACTTCTGGAACACAAGAATACCATAGGAGATTGTATCAAAAAACCCTTTAAAGATCAAGGAACACAAGGAGGGATTCCATAGGTCATCAACAAGCACAACTAATGCTGCTCTTCTAAAATCTGATTTAAAACCTGACTGGAAAAGTGTGGAACTTAACAGAAATAATGAGTTCTTCTACCGTAGGTTTTGAATGTGTAGCAAATGGAATGGAGTGGAGTAGAGCGGAATGAAATAAGTTGCTGAACACCGTAATGAATATAGAATTCTAGTTTATTTGGTTTTTCTTTTTCTCCTTATAATTGGAGATTTGTTATTAGATAAATAAATAATATTTTTAAAATAAATATTATTGTGTTTAGTTAAGATGTTTGTAATAAGTGTGGGCAAGGTGATTGGCCCCTAAAATATCCCATGAATGTAAAAAAAAAAAAGGTGATAATCCAAATGCATTCTTGATATTTTTATCAGACAGTTGTATATGTATGCATTAGCCAAAATTTACTTTGTTGTTCTCTTCTTTTTCCTCTTATAGCTATGCCAAGGGAGAACTTGATATTTCTTATATTACCTCAAGAATTATTGGTAAGTGGTCTATTATTTGAGTAATAAAGCAATGCAGCAACCTCCAACTTCTCGTTGCCCATTTTATTTGGGTTTCACTTCAGAATATATGTTTGTTTCCCTCCCCCCCGTTTCTTCATAGTGATGTCATTTCCGGGTGAAGGAGTCGAACTGGGATTTAGGAATCATATTGACGATGTGCGGACATTTCTTGATTCAAGGCATCCTGATCATTACACAGTTTTCAATTTGTCACCAAAGTCTTATCGTACTGCACGGTTTCATAATAGGGTAAGTTTTGCTGATGCAGGGATGTGGCAAAGACCACGGTAAAGTTGTGATATTAAAATAATATGTAGCTGGTGCCATGTGGATCTGCCTTTGAAAAAAAAAGAAATGCCTTATTAATGGATCAGAATTATGACAGATTGGGGCTATCTTTAAATTCCATCAATTTCATCCTTCTTTGGATCATTATTTATTAAGACACTGTACAGCAAAATTAAAAAAGTAAAAAAAAACCCGAACAGGGTAGTAATAATAAAAGAATGTTACTACCACCACTTTTAAACTTATAGTAAAAATTACTTTTTAAAAAATATGCCTAATTTATTTCCCAGAATGATTAAATATTAGGGGTTAATTTCAATTCTGAGCCAATAGCTAAGGCACCAATATGGAAACTGGAGACTGAGTTCTAGTCCTGCCTTAAGCACAGAAGTCACCTGAGAGATCCATCTTTCCTAACTAGAGGAAGCAGGCAAGGGCAAACTATTTCTGAAATCTATTGCCAAGAAAACTGCAAGGACAAATCTAGTAAGTCACCAAAAATCAGGAATCAAAGGTATGCATGCAAAACATGCACACATGAATAAGTTCTGCAGCTTAACTCCAAGGAATTCTAAAACTACTGTATTATATTGGCTATAGTAATAGAATTTTGCAGATTTGATTGTTTCCTATGTAAGGTATTCCTGTAGAGAATACCTAGGCCAGATTGTTTAATCAATAGCCATCTAGAGACATAAATGTTCAGAAGAAATCTTTTTCTACCCTTTTGGGTTGCGGGGACGGAGGCATCCATTTTTCTCCGACTCATGGAAGAAAATCATTGTACTAAAGAATCACTATACTCTGGATCTTCACATAAATAAGGAGGTTTTCTTTCTTTCCACAATGTATAAGCAAAACAAGTCACATAATTTAAAAAAAAATTAAACTAATCGAACAAACACTTTGAAGGATTAATTAGCAGATGGAAAGTTGGTAAAGTTGAGACCAATAACATAATTTTAAATTCTTTACATTATCAATTTAGCAGACCCCTTTCTAAATGATGGGTTTTTAATTAATAGCCCATTTTCTTCATATTGTCATTTAATGAATTATAGTATGAAATCTGTGCGTTGCCTGTTCCTTTTTATGTCACTGGCTTGATTCTTGTTTAGTTGCTATGTCATGTCCAACTGTTCAGACCCCATAGACCATAGCATGCCAAGCTCTCCTGTCTCCCAGAGTTTGCCCAAACTCATGTTCATAGCATTGCTGACACTATCTGACCATCTTAGCCTCTGTCATTTCCTTATCCTTTTGCGTTCCATCTTTTCCAACATCAGGATCTTTTACACAGCTTGCTAAATCTGAGTTGAAATTACTGTGCCTAGGTGTGACAGCAGAAATAATCATGTGTTTCAAAATAGTAGATGAAACCAAGGGGTTAAAACCAACACCTTATCCTGTTTTACATGTTGTAAAGCCATAGGCCTTTCCTGCTTTTTGAAGGTGATGAGCCTGATCATGCGTAAACAAATCATACTATGTGATGATTTGATTTATAGAACATGCTTGGGTCTTAAAATATGCCAAACTGAAAACTACCTGACCTCTTTCTAGTTTTCTTTTATGCTGTGCAAATCTAGCTGATTGTTACTACTGTTCTGACCTGTTTTCACTCTGTGTTTCTTTAGGTATCTGAATGTAGTTGGCCAATTAGACAAGCACCAAGTCTCCATAATCTCTATGCTGTTTGTAAGAATATGCATAACTGGTTGCAGCAGAATCCCAAAAATGTTTGTGTCATTCACTGTATGGTAAGTCAAGCAGTAAGTAACCATTTGTATATAGATCTATATAGAAAAAAATATTTCAAATATAAAGCCTGACATAAATTAAGGTTCTTTTAATGAGTATAGATAGTTGATGGTTGAAAACAAACCCTGGTGTACAGTACAAACAATACAAAGAATAACACAAAAAACTGATGGGTGGGCTTCAAAAATTTTAGCAACTGGTTCTCTGCCCAGTTGCTGGAAGGGCATGGCCATGGTGGGCGTAGCCTAGTCACCCTCCTGCACCACGGTAGGTAGGGGGTCATTTTTGCCCTCTCCGGGCTCCGGAGGCTTTCCTCAAGCCACTGGGAGGATGAAAATGCCTTCCTCAGGCTCTGGAGGCCACCTGGAGCCCAAAACAAGCCAATTTCTGGCTTTCCAGAACTTCCTGTTTTTTGCCCTCCCCGAGCGTCTGCGCGGGCCCTATACTTACCTGGGATTTAAAATGGGCCACATGGAGATTCCTGGGATAGGAGGGGGGGCGGGGGGGGGGGCAGCCAAGGATGGGATTTACCAGTTCACTAAACTGGCAATTAAAAATGATAAAATTCGTTACTGTTTCAGACAAACAGGGGAGAACCGGTAGCAACTCACCCCTGAAAACTGAAAATTAACTTGTGGCAATCTATATGTGGAGGACAGTGCTAAACTTGGTACACACTGCAACATCTTGAGATATTTCTCTGTCAAATTTTATAAGAGCCTTTAATGCTTTTGGGTTTTCTCTTAGCTAGATATTTATAGCTTTGCTGATGAAAAAGTAGAAGACAAGGAATATCTTGTTCCTGTAATTTTATTCCTGCATTTTTTTGTATTTGATCCACATTTATCTCTAATAAAAATTCATCAGTTTTCATTTCAAAGGGAGATGGAGTCCCTATAATGGTGTTTGCAGCATCTGATTTTTATAACTTCGTGAATAATAAATGATTATTTTTTAAAAAACAGACTGCTTAGTTTATAGTGTTCTTAGAGAATTTATTGTGTTCTTAGAGAATTTAGAAGTATCTCAATAGTGCTTTCAGGATGGTAATTGGAAAACTTGGTATCATTTCCATCATCTTGCCAATTATGTCGTGAAACTCATGATACTGGTTTTTCATCGCTGCTTTCTTCTGGAATGTTCCTTATTAATTTCAGGAAAGGTGAAAGTGCGATGTCAGTATTAGCGATGGATCTTATCACAAATGTGTAGAGGAAGAGAGATATCTTGAAAGCATTGTATCAATTGTACAATGCAATATCCATAATATAACTTGTTTTGGAATCTGTTACAGATGGACAATTTATCTTTGGGGAGTTTTGTGTGGCTGTTCCACCCTAATCCCTCTTTTGATTCTTATCTGAGAACGTTAGGATTGGATTTCCAAAGTTCATTTCATTTGTATGTATAGAAAAAAATGTAGCCTGTCATTATTTTAATGCTTGTTATATTTCTGAACACATCAAAACTAAAGCAAAGGCTGCTTAAAGTATTTACCACCTATTCAGGTGCCTGGAGAGTTTTAGTTCCTCAGGAAATTCAGCGTGTTGTAGAAGTTCTTTCAAAAATTGGACTGGCATTTGCACTGAGTCAAAAATATCATGATCCCTGTAGAGTGCTACTATATTAGAACATATTTCCATAATTTTATTTTAGGCCTGAAAATGACATTACACCCTACATGGTCAACACAAAATGTATTCGCCCTGAGCAGTACTTTAGATATTATTGTTCCTTTTATGTCTTACATAAACACTTGATGTCAGGAGATGCCTAGCAATTCTGGAACAGTCTTGAGTCTTCCACAGTGTTAATTCTAGCCAGACTGTTTAAGTTATTAAACAGGCATATGACTTTAGAAAGCAAAAATATTAAAACCAAACAATACAATTTATTAATTCTGTTTATCACTTAATGATTGCAAAGAAAGGAATCAGATTACCATTGAAATGTTCAACACAGAGGTGATATTCAGCAGGTTCTGACCAATTCTGGAGAACTGGTAACGGAAATTTTGAGTAATTCAGAGAACTGGCAAATCCCACCTCTGACTGGATATTTTACAGTATCCTTCCCCTGCCACACCCACCAAGCCACGCCCATAGAGTTGGTATTAAAAAAAAAAGTGAATCCCACCACTGGTTTAATAGTTACTGTACAATTAACAGTTTGCTAATTATTAAGCTAGGGATTTTAAGGAGTCTGTAGAGAATTCAACACATTTAATGCATTCATTTCAGTAAAACAGGGGAAGTAGAATATTTAGAGAAGTGATTTAATGATGCCCACACAAAACTTTGCTTGGAGTTTGAAAAGTCTCAGAAAATATAAATAAAAATAAAAATTAAATCCATTGTAAAACTTCTTGCCATAGTAAAGAAGAAATAGTGAAATGGCACAGCATTAAGAAATATTTTGTCCTTTTCCTGAGGATTTTAGCAAAGTCAGAGAAAATGAACACACTTATCAGGCAATGTGCAATAACTCTGTGTAATAGAGAATATATCACTTTCATATAACTATGTGTGATAGAGAAAGTCAGGCTTTTAAACTCCAGGTAAAAAAGTGTCTTCTAAAAAGCATCAGCAGGAGTTCCAATTTAGGTAAAACAGGAAAAATTAGTCACTTGGGCAGCACAATCAGTTTAGCGTTATGCCAATTCTTGATTTTTCTAATTTAAATAGTTTTTGCTGTAATGAGGATGAAGTTTTTAAGGCAGAGAGAACATATTGAATGCATGGAAGGAAATACCAAGGGTTGTGATGGCGGATGGTTGTTTAAAATAATGTGATATATCACATCTGAACACAAAAGCTAAAATGATTTTTTTAAAAAGATTAATGAAGGAAAGCATTAGTTAAATGGCAGCACCCCTATATAATCTCTTGGCTTGATTGTTAATATCTTTCCTGAACAAAGTTCACAAGAGAGAGACATTTACTGTTTTCCTATTCCAGAGATTTCCAAATCTGGCAGCTTTAAATCTGGCACAGCTGTCTGGAGAATTCTGGGAGTTGAAGTCCGCAAGTCTTAAAGTTGCTAAGTTTGGGGAGCCCTGTCCTATACTTTGTAGTCAATAAGAATTTCCAGATACACCAATACTTTTTTTTTTTTGCTAACTCTGTCATTACTTTTCAACTTTCCCAGGAACCAATAATGTAGATTGAAAGGTTGAGGATCAAGAGCACAATTTTAGAAGTCACAACTGCTTATCTTGGGTTACTCTTATTTTATATCTTAATGATACCAGAATTTTCTGAGCAAAGGTGCCCGAATGAGGTTTCTCTGCCATTTCTCTGCCAATCTAAGATGACTTTGCAAGCGAATCAAACTTCCCTTCCAGCTTCCTTTATGGCTTTTTCTTTATGGCTTGACCAGAATATTGAGACTACCCAAATATTAAATAGATTATGGGTATAATTGAGGCCCTGGGAAAGCAAATCAGGGAACAATGGTTTGAATCCCTAAAATGCAGTAAAATAATTTTCAAGGCATTTGGATTTTTGAGTACAGGCTTCATAAAATTGTATGCCACTTAGTTCTTCACTTGTCATGTCAGACCCTGCTCATCCATGAGTCAAGACTTTTTCTATCCTTCTATACCTGGAAGGCTTTTGTTCACTAACAACAAAGAGTATAGGAAGTTATTTTTTGTGAGCCAGCCAAGACCAAGAATAAATTTCAGTTGTCTTCAATCTCTGTATCCCTAAGTGATGTAAATATAATAAATATAGAACAATAATGCCTCCTCTAAGTAAGATCCCATATGTTTTATTCCATTTTCTCTGAGAAATAATGTGGGGACCATCATTGATTGTTTGCACATCAAACAAGTATCTGATAATCCACAGTTTTGCATACACGTCATTAAAATAGTCAAAACAATACATATCTCTTCCTCTGTCATATTCCTATCATTCCTATTTGCAGATTCCTCAATTTATCATGTTTGTTTGTTAGCTGCATCCCCTAATCAGTACAGCATCTACTTCTAGAATTTAGCAAAGCTGATGATGTCATTAGCAAATGGTTCATTTGGGAGCCATGCTAGACAGATCAAGCAAGTTATTCCCCTTCTCCACCAACAGACTTTTGACAGCTGGCCATCAGAGTCCACCAAGTTGCAGAGATGATACACCTTGACATACCCTAGAATTGAAGTATTTTTGTATGGAGATCACCATCACATTGGCATTGTTGCCTCTTTTAATGGATTCTCCTGATTTCCCCCAAGCAACTTCAAAGATGGTTACTTGCCACCAGAGGTAAGGCTGTTGTTCCAATTGTTGATGACTTTTTGTAACCCACATGAAGACATCCTGTCCCTAGGATACTATTATCCAGATAAATTATCTGGAGAGACTTGGTCAATGCCAAGTGGTATAGGAACACTAGTAGAGATCAACTGCAGTATTTGTGGAATTCCATGTGATCATCCTGGAATTAAAGTCCTTATATTTGTCATTTAGTTGATACTATTGTCATTTATTAGATTTCTAGTAATCAGCAATTTTCCCAGATACCCCTTTCTTCACCCTTCTGATAAGTGATTCATAAGTTATTGACATCCTAAAATAACAAAGAATGAAGTAAGGCATTTTCTTCCATTTCTTCAAAGGCACACAACACAACAGAACGATGATTCGTAGAGAGATCCATGTAAGGGAAACAAATTCACCATTATTTCCCTCCTGTAAACAGCTTTTTGTCACTCAAATCTTGACTACTTGTGCTGTCTTGAAATTATAACATGGAGAACAGGCAATTATACCTCGCTTTCTTTTAGAAAACCATTTAACAGATTTTTTATAGTAAAGAAGCTATAAATCAGAAGGTGCAGGCAAGTTCATTAATAATAAGATACTAGCTCTCAAAATCTAACCCAATTTGTATAGGGAAGCTATTTTAGTTTTAGGACTCAGGAATAGGCAGGTAGATTTGATTCACTTAAGTATTGCCCATAGAAATTCCATGGTACAATACAGTAATTGATGGAAGAGAATATTTGTAGCTCAGGGTGGAACTTGTGGTCCTTGATCTTGCAGAAAACAACTAAGCTCAAAGAACACCATGGACCATATAGTAATGTAACATATTACTAGAAGTTTACTCCCTCGAGGTAAACTGTTATGGGTAAAAGTTAGTCAGAACTATATCAGGATAATGAGCATATCTCTATCATATTCCATTTTTATTTATTTAAATAATTATCCCACTATTTTAAAAATGCACTTAAATTGTTGTATATTCCACACTTGCTTATTCTATAAGACAGACACAGTCCTCCATATTTAACATTTCATATCAAAGGTAAACAATGGCAAACTTCATATATCATATTAAACTGTATTTATCATTGCTTGTAAAGGGTGGTTTGTGGTTTAGTGTGACACTTGAACCAGGCTACAATAATCTTGCTTTTGTGTGATGTGTACATCTAGCCATGGCCTTTCACAGTTCTATGGAACTTATTTTACCTGGAACTCTCACAAATCCCTAAAAAGTTTTGTTTAGCAAATTTATATAGCCACCCCTCCAACTACGGAACTCTTGGAGATAAATAGAAATAAAATAACCAACTGTACAGATCCACTAAAAATAAACTGGGTGGAGACTCCTACAGTGCCAGGTGGAAAAGTCAGGCCTTTACATCTTTCCAGAAAGCCAACAGGGTTGGCCAACAGATTGGATGAAGACAGGCATGCAAAATCTTTATTTGTCTGATAAGATTCTTCTCATGTCACTTTGGTTATTATTATTTTTTGTCCTACTGTCCTAACTCTGTATCAGCAATGCAGTGGAAGACGTGCATTGCCTCAGTATGTAAGGGACAACTCCTCTTTAAACCCCTTCAAGTTGCTGCTTTCTTTATTGGGAGAAGCCACATATTCAGATTTTTCTGCATATGGCTTCCATGCAAATTATATACTTACTAAATTCTACAGCAGTGATATCCGTTCTGATGCCCTCCAAATGTTTTTTAACTACCAACATTATAATTTCGCACAATTGACCATGAAGCATGGAATTCAAGAATGTTGTAATCTTTAACATTTGAAGGCCATAAAGTTGTCTATTTATCAGATTGCTCTGAAGATCAAAGATTTGTGAAAAGGAGTGTTACAGAAATTTCTTCTTAATAACAATATTGGATTACTTTGACTACATCCCACAGCTGGAAGCTTTTCTCTATCAAACTGATTATTGGAGTATTGAACACTTACTGTCTGTAATTTGTTCTGGTTTGTTGTGACAGACATGCTCTAAGTACACTTTAATCAATGATGACTCACTTCTGGCATAGCTGGGAACCATAGGTAGGATGCTGTTTTCTCCTTCTGCACCTCTGGATTACATTAGAAGGAAACAGAGAAAAATTCTACCCTATTTGTTCTTCATCTTCTATTTGATGGACTTGCTTTGTTGTAGTCTATCTCCAGCTGAGATACAGTGCCAATTGTAAATGTATCTCATACAATTCCATTCTAGTTTTTAACCTATTGTTGGATGTTTCCAACACACCACACTAGAAGGAATTTTCACTGTCGGTGTCTAACGGTCTTTCTTTTGCATGGGAAGCACTTGTGTATTTTTTTCCCTTTTTTCCTTTAAAAAAAACATCCTTTGATGCATTAGAATTGACCTAAGTCAAATGTTTGTTTCTGTTTAATCCTGTGAATTCAGTGTAATCCTATGAACATTTTTTTCCAGAGGGAAACATCTCACGAGTTTCTGCAGAGCTTCTGCTTTAGTTTCAAAGCAGCACTGAGCAGATCTTGTTTAAAAGATTTTGTGTGTGTTTAGCAAAAAACCATGGCTCATTTGAAAGGTGAAATTTTCCTGATTGAGGCTCTTGCATTTTGTCTTGACAGGATGGTCGTGTGGCGTCAGCAGTCTTGGTCAGTGCAATGTTCTGTTTCTGTCATCTCTTTTCTAATCCAGCGTCTGCTGTTCAATTGCTAAATTCAAAGAGACCTGGAGTAGTACTCTGGCCATCCCACAGAAGGTATAGTAAATGTACTTTAGGACTGGCAAATCATGTGTAATGTATATTATATCAGGGGTCGCTAACCTTTTGAACCTCAGGGACCACCAAACTCATACTTTTAAATCCCAAGGACCACGAATATGAATTTTAAAAAAATGATAATATATTTAATATAAAATTTTGAATTTTTTATATTAAATATAAATTTAATATTAAAAATTATGTGTCTGCATATGCTATATATATA